ATGATGACCTTTTGCAATTAGTGCAAGATGGCAAAGAGGTATTTGATTCCATGGAAGAAGATTCAATGATTGTTGATAGCAATGATGATGAGTATAAAGTAGTGAAGCTAAGCGAGGCACAGAAATATGCTAAGGATCTTTTGAATTTTATGGCTAGCCAAGGTTCTTAGATTTTCAACACTCAAGAGTTCTTAGGAATGGAAAAAATCCATGACAAACTCATTAGAATTGGTGTTGAACATTTAACATCACTAAAACAATGTGACATTAGAAACTTCTTTGTTTCATGTGAGAGGTCTCTACCAGATCTCAATGACACATTATAATGTGTTTTTGTTCTCATTCACAGTTTTGAATTATATTTTACATCTAAAAACTTTGAAGTCTTTCATTTGTTTTTTTTTTTTGCATTGTAGTTTTATTCTGATTTTGTAACTTTTTTATGATAATATGACATTATGCACAAATTTTCAAAATGTGACATTATCAAAAATGTCACACCTTGTTTATATCACACTTTATCACACTTTGGGGTGACAACTTTTTGACAAATCTTTGTTGATATAGGTGATTATACTAGATAAACTTACTTAAATATTCAGCTAAATCTTTGTGGTGATCGTTTGTGACCATTTCTTTGTTGATTTTCGTTACTTTACTAGAGAAACTAACTAAGTGCTTGATTAAAACTTTGCGGCTGACACCGGATGAGTTCAACTAAGTTCTAGTATTTTGTTTTCTTGGTTATCTCATTCACTTGCAGCTTTGAAAACACAAAAAACTATTCAACTAGTTCTAAAATATCAAGATAGTCTCAAACTTTCTAGGAAACAAAATTCAAAGATAAAATAATGAATCGAGAACATTACGAGGTCGATGTTTTAGGTGCACAATAATCTGTTGATTGAAAAGTCTGATTCCACGTTTTAAGATTTCTTCAACTCATGGAGTTTTTTGTAGTATTAGTTTCACCATTTTTGAACACTTTATCGGTGTGGAGAATGATTTCTCCGTGCTAAAATGGGAAAAGGATATTCAGAGATCAAAGTTAACACCCATTTCTCTCGAAGGTGTATTACATTGCCGACAAATTTGGCCGAAAACATGAGAGTTTAAGTCAAAGTTTGGCCAAAAACTTTCAAGTTCTGTATATTCCGTATTTTGATTTGAGAATTATCCTTATTCTGTTGAGATACGGAACATAAGGAATCCGGTCTATTTAGAGAGGCCTGATGGAGCTTAATGATGATTGTAGTGAGATGTAATGCTGTTGATTAAATCACAATATGTATTTGATGGCTACAAATCTAAGATTCACTTTCCGGAATACTAATGACTGTACTGAGAACCATTCCAATGAGCATCCATTCCAGAAGTGTACCACTGTGCAATATTGAAGGAAAAAGCATGAAAGAAAGGCAAAGTGTTGTTTCGTTACTTTTGTCTCTTAACACTGTGAAGCATGAAAGGCAAGACGCTTAGACCTGAGGAGCAAAGGAAACGTGATGGGGATACTTAAAAGTATTTGTATTATATTTGAATCTGTAGTTCACAATCCAATGGTTGAACTATGCCATTAATCAATCGTCACAAAATGCATGTATGTAAAATTAGTACTAAATTATGTTGATAGGGAATAAACTTGATCAAGGATAGACATCAGTGACTGACATCGAGCAACCAACACCCGCATCCGTGAGTATACCCGCCTACCCACGGATGGAGTGCTGTCACGGGTGCACCTTGTGGCAACGGGCGAGTGGTCACCGGGTGCATATCAGGAGCAGGTGGGTACGGCTACGAGTGATCATTTGGCGATCACTGATCACGGTCACGGCGATCATGGAGAAGCGCAACGAGCTGAAACCTTCCAAGGTGAACATCCTGATGTTACTCTGTTCGAACATGAACCTGACCAAATGGAAGAAGTTCTGAAAACAGTCAATACAGACATCATCGTTGCCCACACCAACTATCTGTATTGTGCCAAAGAACTATTATCGCGTGTAGCGCACACAAGCACGGGGACGGGTCGGGTGCGGGTGCAAATTTATGAACCTCTGTGGGCGGCTACGGCTGCGGGTACGTCGGGATGCTCGCGGGCGGGCACGGTCGCGGGCGAACTTTCTCAATCAAATGTCATTCACTGATAGACATGTGCAGGCATGGTTATAATAGTCACCCGCCTAAATTACCTAAATACGTCTAATTTAGTCTCCTTAAAAGATTCAATTTGGACTAATTTAGTCTTTCTGAAAATGTTAATTTAGAATAATTTAGGAAAAAAAAATTAAATTTAGACTAATTTAGTATTTAGAGAAAATAAATCTAGACTAATTTAGTCTCTTCAAAAATTATTCTAAATTAGTTTGGTCTTGTTAAGTAAAAATTATTTTGATCATTTTCAATACAAATTTTTTAAATAATATTTGTGAACCAAAATTGTTCATAGAACATAACATAGTCAAAACAAAAATTATTTTGACTTCATGGTAACTTTTATTCAAAAGTTTTCATTACAAAATTTTTTATCAAACATTTATCAATGCTCAAACTGTTCTAAGAACAAAAATTGTTTTGTTTGCAAAACTCCTTCTAATCCAAAGTTTGATAATCTTTTTTGAAACAAATTTTTTTTACAACGTAAAATTGAAAAATCAGACTCTTCCGTGCTGGTTGGAGGAAAAAGCGTCGCAATTACACCACAGTATTCCATCAAATTTGGAAATCGAGCACCCAAAGAAGACCAACCGTCCTTGAAACTTGAACTACTGGAAAGCGAATCAATAACGCTCTTAATCACTGACTCACATCTATGAGCATGGAATAGAGTTTTGTGCTCATCAACTATGATATCAATCTGATCAGATGAATAAGAATGCTTCAATTGAAAAGCATGTTGCCGCATCTTTCGGATAAAATTTGCTGCAGATAGCTTGATGAGTTCATGTGGTAACACTGGGGAAATATAACCAAAATCAATCATTGCGTTGTTGTTTCGATCTCGATAAGCACAAATTTCTCGGATTCGATAGCAGACTGTGACATAAACAAGAGCGATGTTTCGTTGAAGATCGCTTAGATCGCTTTCAGTGGCTTCGTTAAGTAAGGGTTCAACCCAAGAAGCCAGACCAATGAGAAATTCTTGAACGCTTGACAAAGCGACCGCATAATGACCGACTATGACGTGGGTTGATAGATCAACATTCGCAATTGATTCTGCGTTAAGCGGTCCAATTATTCCAACATCGGCAATGAAAGTTGCCACAAGGTTATCCAATGCATTTTGCTGCTGAAGTACTAGAGTAGTTAACCCTTGAATAGTACGAAAAGCAATAGCTGCTTGTGTGGTGAAATGATGCATAGAAAGGAGTGCAACCCACCAAAGTCGAGATGGAGCGGAAGCTGGTTGTTTTGAGTCGATATGAACAAGTAACTGAGTTCGATGGATTTTGAACCAAGTGATGACTTTTTCCGTCGAAAGCCAACGATTGACAACACGAGGGCATGTAGTTTGCATTTCCGCGATCAAATTTTGTTGTCGTGTCAGGTGAGTAATGAATCCAGACATCACTGAAAAAATTTGTTCTTTGATGACATTGTTCATTTTCTCTTCCATAACCTAGTTGATGGGCTCCGCACCAAATCCGAATTAAAGAACAATCCTTGTGCATCACGTCGGCAAGGCGTGTAACAACCCCAGTAATCCGTCTAGTCATATTGCGAGCCCCGTCAATTGTCAAACCAAGAAGACAATTTGTCCAATCAAGACAGAGCACTGTCAAAAATTTGCTCATTATTGTGAACATAACTTCACCCGTGTGCCGATCAAACATCGGAAGTGCACAACCATGCAAGTTAACAATCGAATGATAGTCGCGAATGAAAATCCGGAAACGTATGTCAAGAAATGAAGTGCTTTGATGTGTCGCCGAGTCGAGTGCTAATGAAAATTTCCACGAACGTCGAAGAAGTTTCGCAATCTTTTGAAGATTGGCAGCGCAAATTACCCGAACAAAATTACTAATTTCGTGACGAGAACAGGTACGTATAGCAGGATTGCCCAAAACATCATATGTACAACCGACAAGTTCGGATGCCATAAGAAATGATGTCCCGCAAGATACGTATCGCATAGCAAGATGAAACAACATTGTTTTTGTCTTGGGAATTGTCACTAAGTAAAAGTAATCTGTAACAACGTCCTTCAATTCAACACGATGAAATAGTGATAATGCGCATGCTTTAGACTTGGTTGCTGCTTGTCGACGTTGGGTTAGTTGGATACTATTTTCGCCCATACTACCAAACAGATGTACATCTTCTTCATCTTCTACATCACTTTCTTCTTGTTCTTCAGGATTGAACATCATATTGCCGACAATGATATCAACAATATCTCCGTCAATTTCATATACAAGATCTCCTTCATCTTCCAAAGAAGACACGAAATGGGCTTTAAGAGAATTTTTAAATGCAATTGGCTCATCGTAAAAAAATGAATTACGATCTGAAGAAGTCTCTAAGTTTTGATACACATCCCATTGTTTGGTATGTTGGGTACAAAGATGATGCTCAATATTGTCATAACAAAAAGACAATTTCCATGCTTGCACAGAAGATGCCACTTTTTGTTTTGCATCTACCTTCTCTTTCCGACCAAATGCAATATAGAACCGACATTGCACACCCATCACTTTTGACGATTTTGAGTCTCGACTTACAACCTTCAATCCGAATTTTTCGTCATTTCCTTTCATGTAGGCAGATGGTCGTTTTTTTGTCATTATAAAAATGACAAAAATTTGATGCCCACAATAATTTTCTACTCTTCGATACTACCCTGCAGCATTTCAGAAAACAAAAAATTAGAATATACAATTAATAAAATTAAATATCATTATAATAACGATAAATGTCATGCGTAACGTTGAGTATGCATGGAAAAACTAAAAAGCAGTATGTTGAGTGTATGGCAATCTGTGTCACAGGTAATTCGTGGTTGATTTGTGACTTGTGACAGGGAAGAGGGAGACATGTAGAAATTTTTGGGCGTTGGGCGTTGGAAGTGGCCAACGAGGTCAAACGTCAGCCGCGTGTCCGAATCCATCCCAATGCAGTCCCTGAAGCGCTTGACGTCACAGGGATTCTTGACATGTGCTGACCGCATCAGCGGATGCTCGTGCGTTGAGCTGCGGCGGTATGTCAGTATGTTTTTCAATGCAACGCGGTCCGACATGATGGATCAGGACTTTTGATGCGGGCATAATACTCTATTACAATCCTCTACAACACACAGACCAAATTGACAGCCTCGTATGCTGCTTAGTTGCCTTCTGATTGGGGAGCGAAGGACGATGGCGAGGTCGAAATATCTTGCTTGGCTCCCTGCCTTTCCGTCACCACCCCAGAAAAGGTCAACTGGCTCAGATTGGCCCTCACTCTTGACCGTCGAGTCAAGCCAAGTCCTCGGGCTTGATTGATGAGGTCGGAAGCAAGCGATGAGCTCATCGAATCCACAGAATCCCACTCTGAGTTGGGAGACTCAATTGCAGTAGTCAGGGTGCCGTGCATAACTTCGTCGTGGTAGAATTTGTGGTTTTCTTGTACTCCTGCACGTCGTCAATGCGGAGCTGCCAAAATGTAGGGTTCTAGCTGGACATGATCACACGACTCGCACATTATCTTCCGGCGTCCGACATTTGACAGAAGATTATGGCACAAACCTTGGCCGCTACGTCCACTCACACGACCTTAATGACAAATGCTACTCCGATCGATTAGCATGCCGCCGTCGCTGTGGATCCGTCCACATTGAATTTCCATGTCTTTTAGAGGACAACAAGAACATTATTAGGGAGCTGTTTAGATCGATGCCTCTCATGACGATTTACTCTTCAAACCACATCGAGTTAGTACACATGCAGGCGGCAGTTCAACCTTCCTGTTGCATTGGCCGAGTGCTCATTGCTGATTCACTGACCGATTTGCACTTGTAATTACTCTTGGCATCCTGTCAATGCAAATTGCTACCTCCAGGTCGATATTGCCTGCGGTTTCTTGAGCTGAGCTTGGAGATGGCCGGCAGTCTTGTGCCTGCAATTCTGGACATTGTCTAGTTAAAAATACGGTCGGACTCGTTCAGGGATTGGGACTTCGAGACGGACTTTTTGTTCCGGGATTGGGTGTTGGGTGTTGGGTGTCAGTGCCTCCTTAGTCTCAATAGATCGACATTGGTCTCTGAGACCTACTTGCCTTGCTTGACGGTCGTGAAGAGACGAGGACAGGTTCGCCGATTCGCGTGCTCATTCCTTCCGGATCACGATTTGAGTGATCGACCGAGACGTAGAACTTGTCAGCTAGGTACAAAATTGGGATTTCTAGAGGCTGTGTGAGAAACTGAGGAATGTTTTGGAAATCAAAGAGAGCATTCTGGTGATTGAACTCTGCGGAACGGAATGTCGTTTTCCTCCAAGCGAAGCGCATGGATTATCACACCGTTCTCTGCACACCTTGATTCCATACTTGCAGCTCAAGTGATAAGTCTTGAAGAAGGTGTTATAGTGAAAGAATTACAACGGAATCTCGCGGGTGGATGTTTAGATCGATTTTGATCGAAGCAAAATTCACGGGCTAAATTATCACTCCGATGTTTTCTAACGAGGACAGGTTAGCCGGCGAGCAAACCAAAGCGCAATGAGTTCAATTAGAGGTGAATGTTGATGAAGGGGATCTTTGATTCCATGAGGGATTCACAGAACGCGCATAATCGGGAATGTTATCGCTGCACATCAGATTGAAGGCTCCTAAAAAAGAATCGCTCAGATGCAGTTCCGCTCCTGTCTCCTGTCACACGAGTCATGAAGTACAAGCCAAACACGAGGCAGTTTCGTGTACTGCTAGAAGACACGAGAGAGTTCTAGACTGAGTAAAAAAACGTTCAAGAACGAAGGTCGAACAAGCAGGAATTGCAGTTCAGACGAGTGTTAAAAACAATCAGATGCTGAAGAGAAGAGAGTCTTAATATAAAGAGCATGTAAAGACAAAACTGAATGACAACGCATAGAAGAAAGAAAGGTCGCGAGAATTACCTTTGGTGTCTTCGCAGTATATTCACTCCGTAGGATCGAACACTCTATCAAATCGACAAACTCTGTAGTAATTCAGACGGGAAAGTGATCGAACACTTTATCAAATCGACAAATTTTGTAGGAATTCAGACAAGAAAGTGATCGAACACTCTGTCAAATCGACAAACTCTGTAGGGATTCGAACGGGAAAGTGGTCGAACACTCAGTCAAATTGACAAACTCTATAGGAATTCAAACGGGAAAGTGAGTTGACTTCATCAGAGAAACTCGATCAGGAAAATGAGATGCACTAAACTGCGAAGACTATTCTATATATTCTGACTCGCATGCAGAAATCCGTTGCAGGGGTACTTCGCGTCGTCTTCTCATTAGGGGCTAGATTCTTGATTCAGTTAGGCGCCCAATCCCGCCCATTTTAGTTTAGGCGCCTAAACTAGTGACCGTTAGGTCATTTAGGCTCCGACATATACGGTCGCCTATTTGAACCATGCCTGGACATGTGCCATTGTGGGTTGAGTCATTAGGTGAGTTGTTTTACATTTATACATTTTGTTGAAACTTTTGTGAAGATGGGTAGTGACATGTTCAAATTTGTTATGGATTTTAGACTTACCTATTAGTTGTTTGTCTTGCAAAGGAACATTATTGTTGACATTGATTCGTGATCCAACGATAAGACTGGAGATTGGATCTACCATCGCGAAAGTTTCTCCACGCCTTTGATAAGGAATATTGACTCGACCTCTTACACACATGTATAGTTAATACGAGAAAAAAGTGTATACATAAAAGTATCTCATGTACAAAGAATCTTGATAAAAAATGGAATGTGCTACAAAACTCAGTTCATCCTTGCAACTTCATTTGTCTTCTATTAGCACAGATTTCTCCTTGTGCTTTTGAACTATTCTTGTTTGTTATTTCTTGTTGTCTTTCTTTCACATCACAATTACTTTTATTTGCACTTATGAAAACTTTGTTAAAGTCTTTTATAAACTTGTTTCCCACATAAATTTTGCAGGCTTGTTCCATACGTTAGTTTTTCAACTTTGTAGCATGATAAGGTTGTATGTATCCTAAGGTTTGAAGACTACAAGCTTTGTTCCTATTATTCATAAACAATATTTTCAATTCATGTGTCATCACATTGTAACTACCTTTTATTAGTTAAAATTAAAATAGAAGTTATTCAAAATAGAGGTATAGGTAGTTTATAGTGCATCAATCATAGTTATCACATCAACAATCCGTGTGTTTGGTATGTAAAGATTGAATTGGTTAATTAAAAACGACACATCAACAATTCGTGTGCTTGGTAGGTAGAGATTAAATTGGTTAGTTAAAAATGCTACATTAACAATCCGTATGCTTGTTACGATTATGCCATGTCATCTATTTCATATTGAGTAGAATAGATGGTGAGAAAACAATCTTATATCTTAATACTTGTTGATAAGAGTCATATAAAAGATTGTAAAACCATTATTGATATCTCCTATTTCCACCCTCCATTTTACTCTTAGTGGAATAGAGTTTACGTTTTCATCTTTGAGTGAATTTATCTCTAAAATCTATCGTTATAATAACATTAGAGTGACCTATTTTTTTCCTTGAGTGTGGATCACCCCTCATGGAATAGCAAGGGAGTGACAATAGAGTGTAAAATCTGGCAATTTATAAAGACTCGCAAAGATCATTGATGTGCATGTATAGATAGGGGGCAAGAATAAATATTGTAGTTTTGCAGTTATGGAGATGTTTTACAGGAATTCAATATTACACTAGTTGATTTTCAATCTATTTGTTATCCATCTTTGTTGTATGGAAAAATATCATTTTCCAATGTACCTTATGGATTGTTAGGATGCAAATTTTATGATTAAAATGATGTAGTCATGATGTCATTGATACTTTCAATAGTTAGTTATAGAGAGATTTGGGATTGTGTCATATATTATTATATATACTAATGTTTGATGAATTTGAATTGCAAATCATCCGCTCGATTTGGATTCAATATTTATATAAAGATCAAAACAATATATCAACAGCTAGAAATTAAGGAGAAATTTTCTTGTGAGTAATTATATTAAAAAGTATTATGGAATCATTACAAAATCATTTACATCTTTTATGAGTCTTATGTTGAAAGATCAAATAGCCATTATACTTATCTTGTATTAAAATGAGTGTAAAAAAACATGAAGATATCATTTGATATGAATGAGGTTCTCAATGCATAATAGATAGACATACAAAGTAGCAAGCCATGAAAAATAAAATCTTAGCATTGAAGAGAGAAAAAATAGAAAAACAAAGAGTTTAAGAGATGTAACTTAAACCTCAATTTCAAAAGTAAACATCTCTTATTGATGAAGCCAAGTTAAATAAGAGATGTCTTCAAAATAATTAAAGATCAAACACAGTTTTTGCTTTGAATGTGAAAATCATATAAGGTAAAAGCTTACAAATGGAATATAGAGATTTGAATTTTAGAGTACTGAATAATGAGTATAAATTATAATTTATACCATTTTCATGTTTCTAATTTTATTGCAGGAATCTTCATCTCTTTATCTTATGCATAATGCTCTTACGTGATATACTACATGTAAATGAATAATTTTCATAACTAGATGCTTTTATTTTATGGAGTGAAATGCAAGAAAGACTTGTGTAGAATTTCAAGCAATGAATTTTATTCAAACTGCAAGAATGAGATTGTGGAATTTGAAATATAGAGAAATATTCATGAGAACATTGAAAACATTTGTGATTTTTAAGTATATATCATGTATATGAGTGGAGTAGAAACCTCAGATGTATTCAAGTTTTGTATGAAGACATTCAAGTTTGCATTCGGAAAGAAATGATGTTAACTAATCCAACCACAATGATGAAAGAATCGCAATTTCTCAATAAATTTTGGATTTTTTTCATGTCACACATTCTAAACCATTAAGCATTTTTTGACATCCATATGATCTAACATCAATGGTGTTGGAAAACCTTTGACGTAGAGAAGATTTTGCATCAACACGTGTATCAACTCCAAGATTTGAAGGTAAGATTTGGCGACAAGGAATTCCAAATTTTTAATAAGTATATGCAAAGAATGGAATGATTTGAGGAGGAGCATGAGTTTGTAACAATCGTCAATGCTATGCGTGTGAAAGAATGGATCACATTGTCAAATTATGCCAAACTCGACCACAAGGAAGACGATCCATACAAATCACCATTCAACGACATGGAAGAGACAAAGTATGAAAAAGTTGAGGAAATGATTTTGGCTTACAAAGATCACTAGTAAATATACCTTAGGGCTTTACTAGTTTCACAAAGCAAAAAAAGAAGTCAAGATTGAAAGAAGACAATAGTTTGACGCTCATGGAAGGAGCAAGAAACAAGCTCAGTTGTCATAAATGATTTCATGAAAAGACACAATATAAAAGTTTTGATGGGTTTAGCGTTCACCAAATGTTGCTATGAAGTTAAATTTGATATAAATGAAGTACATAAATGAAGGAGTTGAATTGCCAAAAAGAGCAAACAAAAATGATAAAAACACTACCACAAAATGTCCAATTATACATAGGTAGATACAAGCAGAGAAATGAATGGAAAGTGGTTTGCTTAACTTGATATGATGTTATTCTTGGATTTTTATAGATGAAGCAATATAATCTAGAGTTTGATTGAAAAAAAAATATATAATAAGCACTGGTTGGAAGATTTATTAAATTAGATATCTGAATAGCAAATTTACTATTCTTGTGATAAAAGAGTCATTATTTCAAAAACATGATGTATGTTCATGGACTTACAAGAGATGTTAAATCCATATACAAACTTTTCTTTGCAGAATCATTGAACAACATTTTTATGAACTACAAACATGTTTTTTCAAATGATATACTTGCAATATTAACACCAAATAGTGTAATACATTATAAGATTTAAGTGATACTTGAAAGTACATCAACTTGCAAAGCTTTATATTATTTAGCTTCAAACTAATTGAAAGAATGCAAAGTTCATGTGAAGAAGATCATAAACAAGATATTCATTGAACCAATTGTGTCATCTTATAGAGCTCTAATGCTAGTTGTGAAAATGAATGATGGATCCATGCGACTATGCATCTACTACCATGGATTGAATTAGCAAACGGTGAAAAACAAATATATATTTACCTTGTATGGATAATTCGTTTGATCAACTTCAAATAGCAAAATACTTCATCAAACTAGATTTGAGTAGCGGCTACAATTAACTTTGAATTGCAGATGAAAATATCGAGAAGAATTGTTTTTTACTAAATATGACCACTTTGAGTACATAGTTATGTCTTTTGGTCTTACTAATACAT